GCAAGAAGAATACTTTGAACAATGGACGCTTTCCGATTCCATCACCGGTGGCACAGAAATATACACGTTTTACCTGAACTTCGACGTTTCAGAGGTACTGTCGGAAAACAGATTACCTTTTACCCTCTACCATTGTATGTCAGCTCAACTTAGTTGAAATGCATTACTCGCTGTTCGGTCATTAGCTGTCTAATTTAATACGGCAGAACCTTCTGTCGGTTGATGTAGCAGAAATGTTTGTTTTAATTCAGATGTAATTCGCCAGAATTTCCCCTCCGCTAAATGCTCAGTTTCGAGAAGAGGAAAATGCTCAGTAACCATCCTCTAAGTTGGCCAAAACAAATGAGCATGTGATCATGCCTCCACCAGACGGACAGTATCATAGAAATAAACACACCGCTAATCAGTACACATGCGTTTTGTGGCTCCAGCGCAACCACACAGGGAACCTTAATTAAGCAGCCAAATTTAAGTGCTTGAACAACGATAATTGTTATCAGGACTGCACTGGTTTGAGCATACTTCCATCCTAGTTCATGAGCGTGGCGCGGAAGCCGCTTATTAAAGTATCGAAAAATCTATTACATCGGACTGCTTATAAGGCGATATGTTTGACACTGCTACGAGTATCTTTAAATTCAGGGCCGAACGAACAGAAGAATTTTCCTCCTTTCAGGGATGTAAAGAATTGTAAGATCCTGTATCACTAAACTAGTGAATTTTACTGTTTAATGTATGAATGTAATAAGGCAAACGTATTCTGCATCAACACCCTGCAAGTCCTCAAATACTATGGAACCTTGGCCATCTTAAATTGTTTCTTAAGACTTTTTGTGATGTTTCCGAGCTGAGCAGTATTACTGTTGTACCGGGAATGTGCTTTGCTCATATACAGAATTGCGCACATAGACGGCAGGTGTTCAGTTATCACGGAGCGATGACCTCGTTAAATAATCTGCTATGTCACGATTGGTGTAATTTAATTTTAGTTAATTGCGAAATATTAATGTCTAGAGGCATGGTAAACAATTGAACGTATTTCGGACCGCTGGGAACTCAAAAGATGCTAAGCATCATTATTGTGGAAATGTTAACCTCTAAGTAAAATGTTGATGTCTATCTTCGTGTCTTCAGTCATTGAATCGAAATGTTTCCTGTTAACGTCTAAACGACTTTCATGCTTGGTTTATTTAATTGTTTACCTTCGTTTCAGATAAACCTCATTTCACCCCCGTTGTACGTAGTAACCACAACTACGCTGGAGAGAGCCGAAGGACTAGCAGCCGTTAACGCCACGTTAGAACGGATAAAAGATACGATTGAAAGTGCGGGTGGAACATTTAAAGTCATATTGGCAGTACGTATAAAATTTTACGCTCTATGCGTTTGCGTATATCTTATTTTATTTTGCTACATGATTGGATATAATTTGAATTTGCACTGGGTCTGAATCGTGGCGCGGCATAAAATTTTCTTAATTCCTTGAGCAGCGCTGCTTTTACGTTTGACATTGAGCGTAAATAGGGACAAGGAGTTAACCGTTAATAATTGAATATGAATTCATCACGTTTTCTAAAATTCAGTCACAGTGACTACCAAATTAAGCTATCTCAAGTCGTGGCAAAGGGTCAAAAGTAGTTTTTTACATAGCGGTGTAAACATTTTTTTAAAATCTTTTGCCGGCGATTAATGAGACATTGATCTGTACTAGCCCGCTGTTTTATCAAAAATTTATAATCATCGATGCACTCAATTCTGCATCAGATATGTATTTGCAAGGTTTTGACTTTCAGTGTGTTTGCTGTCGATAGGCGATTAAAAGGAGGTCTGATGGGCACGCAATATAATTTAACAAAGTTAAGTGTTATATTTTCAGTCCTTCAGCGACTATGTGCCGTCTGGAGATTTGGTTGTGAGCATAACCTCGTGGCTTATTACCTCATTAATATATCTGTGATAAAATACGAATCTTAAAATATGCGCAAATCACCTTTGCGAAAGCTGTTTAGCTCTTAATTATTATAGATGCTAAAAACTTCTGATTTGACCCATGTTGCACCTGTCATAATTGTTGCTTGACCTAGATACCTAAATCAGTCAGCTTAGAACGGATGATAGCTTTCAGAAGAAAAGCTCCATTATTCCTTCTTTATAACTTAGTAGCCTAGTTTTCACCAAGGCGAGTTGAAGGCTCTGCTATCTATGTAGTCGTTTGAGCCGTAACTCTACTCCGCTTGAATCATTTCTGGTGCAGGACATTGTAGAATGGTATCACCCGCGTATTCAAGGTTTGTCGAGTATGCTGAGCTATAGATTTCGTGCAGTATCAGTCCATTTTCCCCTGGAAAATCAGGATTCTGGCCATTTGTTGCACCAAGAATTTGGACAAATATACCTCCATTGGTTAGAACTGCAGCTGAACACTGGCATAAAGCTTTGTGTTATCTGTTGCTGAATATCCTGTTGGATTTTAGCCTTTCTTTTCTGGTTTTTTTACCTTTACAGTAGGTAGTTTATTTTGTCCTACCGGTTTATTTGATAATAAGCAAAAGTTTCCCCCGTTTTATAAGCGGAATTTGCCTACAGTATTTGTGGATGTTTTTCAATACTAAAAAGACGCCTCATATTGATTTCACTCTCATTTTGGTCAATTCCTCTTGTTAAGTCAGCAAAGCTTGTGCCCGTAGGTGAAATGTTTTTTCAGGGTGCACTTCATATGCGCATTTGTAAGTTAATTGTTTGTGTTTCCTTTTTAGCCGAAGGTTGTAACAGATTTGGACGAAGATGAGATTCGTCGAAAAATGGAGTTATTGGAACTGGAAACAGCAGAAGTTCCCGGTGATGAAGAGGACAACGTTGAAGGCATGACTGCTCCTGCAGATTTGGATAAACAAGTCGATTTGGAACAGAATCTCCAAAAGGAACAGCATAGCGAGGAGTCAGAGGAAGGGAAGGAAGATTAAATATTGAAAAGATTGTACACTGTCTTTCATCTTAATAAACTGAGTGCTTTGCATTCTTCTATTCTATTTCTTTAGTTTTTACGTTCAATGTCATTAGTTTAGAATACGAATTGCAGCATTTTCTCTGAACCTCATAATCCTTTATGGTTACTTTCATGGCTTTGCAATAGAGGATTCACAGCATCAAAAGGACTAATTTTGTGTATGGTAACGATGCAATCTAAACTACGGAAACGAAATGTTCGATTTTAAACTAACATGGTGTTCCAGAATTAATAATAAAAATTAATTGTGATATTATGTTAGTGGTATATATGTTGCTTCTCCAGGCTTATACTGAGGAGCCGCATTGTGTTCCCGGTACTCTCTCAAGTCGGACTCTAGCGATGATAAAGCGCCGACAATGCACGAATGCAACGCGGAGTACCGTACCGTAATGCGGTTTTGTTCGACTACCTAATGCCCGAAACTGATTAAGTAGCGTAGAATTTCTTGAGGCAGAAAAATTTTAACCATGCTACTCATATAAATGTCTACTGAAGTTTGTGCTGATATCATATAACTGCATTTTATGACATTTTTTAGCAGGATGACTAAAGCAAGGATTATATTGCAAGATCCTGCTAGGACAACGGCACAGCACACTGAAAAGCGATAGTACTGTGGTCATAAAAATGAATCTATATTTACATTAAAATTGCTATAAAGATTGACAGAAGATTATGCGCCAATAAAATACCTAGAAAATTATTATGTACATCCTTCGAAACTCGCAAGGCTGTTCCTTCTTCAGCATATATTATTGATGCACAAAAGAGTTAAAGGGGCAGTTAATAATAAACATCAGCAGATAACTCACTGAAGCATTATGTTTAAGAAATACAATTGAAAAAGAAAGAAAATCAACTCAAGAGGAAACAGTACGACCATGTCATCCAGTAGCAATTCAGCAAGATAATACACGGTAGCAGAAGTGAAAGTAAGACACTGGAAACCGTAAAACCGAAATTAATTAAGCGGACAAGGAGAGATGTGGACAGTTAAGTCAATTTGATTACCGCTAATGCACAACCTAAACTCCGGTACCTGACCTTGCGTATTATTTAATTTTCCAAACGGTCTGTCTTACAATGCATATTCGCCATTATACAAGCTGGCATAACTTCCATCTGTCGCACATTTCCAACAAAGTCACGGATACCATTAAAGTAAAGCTTATCATTCGAAGTAGAGACAAATACAAAAAACTTGGCCTTGCTGGTATGTCACTACTGCGTAAAGCAAGATAGTTAATTTTTTACGCAATTTAAGTTCAAGCCAGTTAATCATTTGCCTTGAAGCTACACCACAAAAAATTATATGTAAGAATTTCCCGAAAGGAAGCTTGATACGCAAATGTCAATGCTAATTTTATCCAATCAGGAAAAACGGTATACAAGTCGGTCAATTCACCTTACATAATCAGTGACACTCAATTTGAATGCCGATGTTGCGGTTTCCATCTCCTAAGCGATTTCAATTTCATTGTGCCATTCACACGTTGAACAATCTATTTTTAAATGCATTTGGGGTTGTATGATCACTTTTTAAAATTTTTGTGCTGTATTATATTTCTAAGTTTGTCATCGAATTTCCACACTTGTTTCCTTTTGTCCCATGTCATTGTTCCAGTCGCCATTCGATCACACATTTTCTGGCAGTCCACATGTTCTCTCTGAGTTATTTCTCTCTTTCTTAGTCTCATTTGCATTCTTTTCTCATTCTCATTCATGAAACAATTAACTGATGTCTTGAATCATCGATCGGGAATGGAATATGATTAGCTGTAATGATTGAGTTCTCCTTTAACTCCGAAAGTGCCAAGTTTGAATCAACTAAAGTTATCGCCGCTCGCAAGTTGCACTTTTGCCTTAGTTTTCTCTTATTCTTTCTAATGTTCGGATTATATATATATATATGGCTTTGCATGATGCATCGCTGTCTTGGTTTTCTTTGCCTCGTTTCAAAAAGATTCTTAGAGTTACCTCTTGTCAGTTAATTTCTTGTCCTACGCACGTTCTTGAGGCCCATTATATTTTCGTCATGTTTTCTTTTCATGGTTCTTTACTACAGCTGCTGCCTTGCCATACATAATCCAATCGCTCTGTTCTGTGTCATAAAGGTTATTGTTGTTTATCCCACCTACGACGCGTTCCACGCCGTATGATTTTTCCCGTTTGCATTTGCAAACCTGTTTCAGTTGGTATTCGTAGGCACATTTCGCAATGCTTATGGCCAGAAATTAAAGTCGGATATGAGATGGAGGCGGCAGCACCGGCATTTAAACGTAGCGTCAATGATGATTTGATGTATGTTGGCCGATTCGCGTGCAACCTTTTGTGATTTGATGAAATTAACACTGACATTTACGTACCAACCTTATCGTGATTTGATGTAATTAGCGGAAATTGGAGGGACTGTTGTTTGATTCCTTAAAAATTATCACTGACTTTCACTACACGTTTTTGTTCAGAAAGGACAATTTTATACATACAGGGATACTCACTTTTAATTTATCGATACGTTCCTTGCACATCAATACTTTCATTGATGGTATGTAATTTTGTTACATAGTTGTTTATTCATGAATAGAACCGCTGATATAAGCTCGATAAAATGGTTATTGCTTTTTCATTGTCGTCTAAATGTATTAGAGTTTAACAATTAAAGTGAATCAATTGTTTCACGCTGAAATGCATTTGCATTTTAAAAGTGAACAAGTTACAGTAACCCATGTATATTATGTTGAACAGTTGATAATTGGTATGACTGATTTGTTGATTTCACATATTTTGAATTTTATGGGTTTATGTCAGTAGCGCCGTCATTAATGGTTTCTTTACGATTCACCATTTAATGAACGCCTCGCAGACTGACATGCACGGCAGTTGATCCAGTGAATTCCTTCAGCTCATCCTGCCATTGGTTCGGAAATCTTTATAATGCTGTTATTCTCTTATGCTTTGTCTTGGACATTTTGCTGGTTCAGCGATGGCTGGTTCTGTGTGTCTTGCCCACTGCTTTTTCAGCCTCTTCACTTAGACAATGACCGCAGACTCTTGTTTGTGCCCTTATCCATTTATTTTTATTCGTCTTCCTATCTTTTTGTCATTTCAGACACATCTTTCCATGCTATCTTGGGTAACCTGCAGTTCCTAAAAGCTGTAAGCTCAGGGTTCTAGATTTCGCATGAATGGCTTATAACTGGAAGCATACTGATTGAATACTTTCTGCTTTTAGCCCAAGGCACTTTTAAGATAGTGTGCTTAAAAGTCTTAAAAGTCTTCAGTCTTCCTAAAGTGCTCCTCATCATTTTTACTTTTCTGTTGATTTCACAGAATTGGTTCTTCATTGCAAAGATAGGGGTTGTCTCATACAGATATGGTTTTCTACTGCTTGAAGCCTAAGTTTACTGATTTCAACAGTTCGTGAGGTCATGTATTTGTTAAATATGACCTGAGTTTTATTCAGGTCCATTTTGGTTCTGGTTTGTTCAGCTCTCGAATTCATCTTTGAGTTTTCCTTATGAGAGAATTAGAATGTCATTTGCAAAGTGCAGGTGGTTTAAGTAAATCCCATTTATCTTCTGCACCTGATTTTTACAATGGAATATCTTGAGCATATCTTCTAAGTCGCTGTGAATAATTTAGGTGATGTTGCGTTTCCCAGTGGGACAGCCATCTCGACTTTGAACTTGTCTGTGTGCTTTCGTTACAACTTCACACTATCATTTGCATTCTTATTGTTCATGGCAATGAGGTCTCTGTTTCTTTTCTCGATTTCCTTGTTATTCAGCGAATCCAGTAGAGAATGAATGTAGACTATGTTCGAAATCTAAGCAAGCCTAGGATACCGAACGCGGCTGATATTTTTGTTGGTCAGGATATGATGCATCGTTCTCAATCCATTTTTGAATTTTGCTCCTTTGGCTGTACAGCGTCTTGTTTATCTGGAAATCTGTTCGTAGAGAACTGTGAAGATCTTGTGGATGATTGGCGACTAACTGATCGATCTTCCTTCAGGCTGCATGAAAACTAGCGCATTAATATC